TATATATATGAGAATAAATACTTCAACAAGTAGAATAAGACAGTGGTTCGCGAGCTGGTTGAACGACGAGCAATTAGTTGTAGGTAAATAAAGTCTGTACACCCACCTTGGTTCTGCTGGAATCATCGAGAACCCTAAAAAAAAAAAAGAGGGTCGGGCAGAGCGTGGGGGGAGGGGGAGGTCAAGAACGGAGCCTTTTTCGCGAGGACCATCTAAGGGTCAGTGCTAGACCTGTGGTAACCCGTGAAAACGACACGACAAAAGCAAGTAACATTTTTTCATCACAAAAATGTGTGGAAAATCGTGTCTTCGAGTCGAGTCGAGCAACATTTAAATTTCCTTTTCGAAACTCTGCGAAACATTCCACCAACTCTTTCCTCTCTTCCATTCTACAGACTCGACTTGACTACGACACGCAGAGAATCATTTTCTCTAAAGAGGCAACGCTCGCTGGCTAGCGAAGTCAGCGAAGTTGATGGGAGAAAAATAGCGATCGAAAAAAAAAAAAAGAAAAAAAATAAGAAAAAAAAATAACAGTAGCAGCAGTATAAGAGCAATGTCGTGAATCGTGGAGATACAGATATTGTCCCTCCCTTGAGAGGAGGACCCCGAGTCTCTCCCTAGTGGCTGTCTTTTCTTTCGGTTTTTTTTTTTTTTTTATGTTGGTCTTGGTCGTGGTGTGTTGGCGGCTGTTGGGAAGAACAACGAAAATGTGAACTTTTCTTTCTTTTCTTTTCTTTTTGGTTTTTCACTGTCTGTCGCGATTACTCCGAGCACACGGTCGCCGGCTCGGCCGATGAGTTTCGTTGATCGTCTCTCTCATTCTCTCGGCCGTCATCACTGTCGCCGCCTTTTTCTTGGCATCGCCTTCAGGAGAACCCGTGGCAATTCTCACGGATCTCGAAGTAGAGATTCAGCAGTGCCGATTCCGGCACGTCGTGGAAGCACCTACCCTCTGGCCATTGTACGCATACTGAAACACAAAGCACACGCACACACACGGGTTAAATTTCGGGATACATCGCAGCCTCGGGTTGTTTTTTTCCCCGTTAACATTCGAGATGGAGGGGATATATATATATATACCCCGATTTTGCTCTCGATTTTACGAAGAATATGGAGAAACACCCCTTTTAGAATATTTTTCGATGCAATATCGTTACACACGATTAAGCAAGCATTGATAATCTCTGTTGCAATAATATGTGGAACGAAATTGGATCGAATTGTAAGCAAGAGAGGATTGATTTTAAAAACTGTTCGCAGATTTAAAAATTATTTCAATCGCAATATTAATTAAGTAAAAAAAGTTGAAAATTTCTATCAAAGTGTTAGAATGTTTAAATTCTATAACTCTCATTTTCTTCTTGTCTATCATTATTATTTGAATGGAACTATCATCATCGGTATATATATATATATTTATATCAATCTTGATTATAGCAATTATCAGTTCCCTTTTTTTAGATCAGTTAGATTAAGAAATCGTGATTGAATCAGAAATGGAATTGATGAAATGAAACGAAACTGTTAAATTCAGTGGCACGTAAGTTTGACGGGTCAAATATCTGAGAAATTGAATTTGTTCGGAGAAATCTTCTTGCGCAAAATCTCTGCTGGATCGCGTCGAGAACGGGACAAGATACAAAGAGGAACGTTCGTTCCCGTTGAGATTCTGATCGATTGCCTCCTATTTCAACGAAACTGGGAAAGGATGCCGGTAAGCGGCGAGCAAGTGCGTTTTCTCACGAAAGTAAATCCTTCTTCGGGAATCGTTTGAGGGGGGGAGAAGGATCGTCCCACGCTATAAATTATCCGAGTGTCGATATCAGCGCGAGGTATTTCGATGGATTGCACCGCTGGTCGACACATTCGTCTTCTCCATCAAAGAATTTGTTGTTATCCTTATCTTCTTCTTCTCTCTTTTTCGAGAAAAGAAAAATCGAATTGCTTCTCCCCCTCTTCGAAAGATTCGATAAAATTTAACGAGTCGAGACGTCTCTATTTTATTTTTAAAAATTTTATTTTTTTTTTTTATAACTCCAAGTAATATGCTGCGATATCGTAACATTAACATTTGATAAGGCTGATCACTTTGCCCCCAAGATCGTGCAGGATTATTTAGAAAATCGACGATTGATATATCGATGCAATATACGGCTAATTTAATTAAACGTATGCGCTTAGCGAGTTTATTAATCGAGCTAAATTTCCAAACTAATTCCAAAATTACAAACGAAAAAATCGACGGAGAGATCAAGTAATGGTGATCCAATTAATTTCACCACCAAAACTGGAAACATCAATTCCGGATAATATAATAATTTGAAACAACACGGTCCAGCAAACATCATACGTATAGTACACGAATAAACAATAATCGAATTGATTGTCGCCTTTTTCCAGATGGAAAGTGTATTATCCAAATGTGAAATTAATATATGATCGTAAATTCGTGTCGAATTCATAGGAACTTTTTTAAACGTTCTTTCTAAAATTTTAAAGAACAATACCATTTAATTGCCAATCCTTCTTTTTTATTATTATTATTTTTCGAGCAAAATATTCTCAAGCAAGGTATTAACAATTAATTTTAAAATTACGAAAAAATTCGTTTCATATTTTTCTAATGTAGCAACTACTATTTCTTTCTTCAAAGTTACAAAACAGATATCACCGTGTGTACGCATTAGTTTTTTTTTTTTTTTTTTTTCTACGAAAATTGGAACGAGCATGGATTTATCGTTGCTTTGGGAACAGAAGGGCCGGGGGATAAATTACGCGAAACACCGTACCAATTTCGATCGGCATTTGTAATTCGGATTGCATCGGCCCTTCAACAGGCCGATAATGGAATTTCAAATAAAAACGAATGGCCTCCCTTCGCATTGCTTACATGAAGGGAGGGATAACGTTTATTCGAGGATTTTTCATCCGACCCAGTAAAAATCCATCAAAAATCCCGATATGGATTCGAATGGCGCAAAAATTGGCGGAGAATTGTTTCCGATTTTAATTCGCGCGTGGTGGGAATAATATTTTGCGCGGAAAAAGGGTCGAAATTTTGACAATTTGACACGAGCGAATTTTTCTTCTTCTTCTTTCTTTTTTTTTTTTTTTTTTTTACGAATTTTCGATGGAAGAAGATTAAATTAATAAAACATGGATTATTATAATTTTTGTACGCACGAACGTCTCCTTCCATTCTTTTCAAAAAATAATTTTCAATTTTCGAAAAGCGAATCATCGCGAAACAAACCGCTATTCAATCGGTTCTCTCTCGATTGAAATCACACAAGCGAATTTTTCTTTTTTCTTTTTTTTTACGAATCCTCGACTGATTCGATGGAAAAAGGAAAGATCAAATTAATAAAACATGGATTATTATAATTTTTGTACGCACGAACGTCTCTCTCCATTCTTCGAAAAATAATTATCAATTTTCGAATCATCACGAAACGCTATTCTAAAGTCGGTTCTCCCTCGAAATTACACGAGAAAAGCTTATCGATAAGCTTATTAAACAACGATAATGTTAGTTAACAAGTCGCGATTTCGAACACAAGATGACCATCATTGACGAGCTAACTGTCTCTCAGGAAGAATGAATCGTGGAATCGCGTGCAAGACGGCTGTATCTTTAGATAGAGGGAACGAAACGGAAGATGGCGAATTATTCGTCCTTAACCTGTGTCTGAAAAGGGGCTAGGTTTCAACCACGGATGACCTACGAACCGACACGCTATTCAAACTATCACAGTAGCACAAAGAATCACCTGCATATCTTCGTCTAATTTGAATCTCAATTCTTCTCCTGCTCGATAAACAACTGTTGTGTCGTGTTCTACCTGTTACGTGGCTTCGCACGCGACTAATAGACACCGAAGGCCATCATCTTTGACGTACTGGATGGATCACGTAACACCCATCTCAATTATCTTTTGGCTATTAGCAGATTGAATCAAAATTTTCATTTTATCCATTCTATTCCTTTTTAATAATAAATTTTTCAAAAGGTTTCATATTACTTTTCAATTCGTTTCACAATTTTTACCCTTATCTGGTTCCATTTTAAAGGAATTTTTGATACTCGTGACTACTAGGTACAATTAAAAATTATAAAGGAAAGTACATTCTTTCAGTACAGTTTCCATCCAAATTTTATTTAAATTTCGCTTAAAAGTAGTAAAAGAAAAGGTTATTATTCGAGGTATAAAAAAGGGAAGTATAAAATTTCTTAGACGTATGTAAATTAGATTGGAGAAAGTGAGTTATACCATTTAACTCTATCCTTGTCGAACAATCGCTCGATAAGATTACATAGAAAGAAGAATCTCTGATGAGCATAATTTGAAAAGTTAATACAGTTTGATTATATTTCCTTTTTTTTTTTTTCTTTTTTTTTCTTTTATCCGACTCGACTAAATGCAAATGACTTTGGAATACAAATTCCAAGTGTCTTCGTTCCTATTTTGTATTCTGCAATAGGGCCATAAGTATTCAATGTTAAACTCTCTAGTAGTAGTCGGATCGAGACCGATACTCTTGGCACAGTTTGCACGATCCGTTTCCGCGCTCGATTCGTTTCGTTTCATCGCTTCTAAGAAAGCCACGTTTCTCTTTAAAGCAAGCTCGATTCGAAAAAGGAAGCGGGTAGCCGAAATACTACCTCGCCCCTATTGAGACGAATATTTTCAATCGAGCAATATTTTTCGGCTCCTCTATAATCAGCAGAATGCACGCTCCTCCCTGAGAGGATTCCTTTCCAACCATTTTCTAAATAATAATAATAGCAATAATAAAACGACCGGAAAGCTTTGAGAACAACCAGGCATTTCTCTTTTCAAAAAAATTTACTTGATAGCATCCTTTCTCTTTTTGTTTCGTTTCATCCGAAATTTTCAAATAAATCGTTGTTCAAATTGAACACCACGACTAATTAATTAATTAAATACATCAGGAATATTTTAACTCGAGCAAGACAATACGCCCTGTTTCCTCTCATAATTCCAATTCTATTCTATATATATACATTATTCCTGCGCCATATTCGAAATATTTACTCAACCACGTTAAACTTCTCCACTGGCAACCAACAAAAAGAAAAAATATCAAAATTTCTCTTCTCTCTCGATTCGACTCATATTCAAAGATACCGCCATCGATAATAAAATAGAAATACTTCCATTTCGCTCGAAATTCTAATTCCTATCCTATACGTGTATTTCACCCCAACATAACGTATCCTCCGTATCGCACGTGCCCATTTCGATCTCGATCCTGGGAGTGAGAGAGTCTCGTTTCCTCTGAAGCGACACGGAACAGCCCGTTTCCTTTAAAATTACACGAGGAACAGAGGCCGTGCAAACATATTACGGAAACAACGGGCGACGTAGTACATACACGAACGGGAAAGTGGCGTTACGTGGTGTGTTTTCGCGAGAGGATTCCGTTTCATCGTAAATTTCTCTTGGCCGGCAGGAAACGTTGCGGCCGTCGACGAAAACGTTGGAGGAAAACGGCGCGCGGTGGGTATAGAAAGAAAAGAGGGAAGGAAAAAAAGGAAAAGGATCCGTTTTTTTTTTTTTTTTCCCCCCAACAAAACGTGCGGTCTCTCTGCGTAAATTTTTCACGTCGATGCGAAGCACCTTCTGTCTGCGTTGATCAAATAGTAATGCTTCGATTAAAATTTTCACATTGCTTCAAATTGTTAAATTTTTTGTTGAATTTCGTTTTTTGGAGAGACACGACGATGCGAAAGTTGAGATTTCTTTTTTTTTTTTCTTTTGGCTCGTGTTTGGAGTCTCTCGAGGTAAATTAGATTTCTTAAACTGTGTGTAAATTATTTGGAATATAGCCGGTTTTATGAAGTATTATTTTATTATGCAATTATATGGATAATAGTTTTCGAGAGGCGCGAGAGCACTGTATTACTTTTTTAATATGAAAAAAAAAAAAAAGAATTAACAATTT